TCTTCCTCCCTTCCTCCCTTCCTCCCTTCCTCCCTTCCTCCCTTCCTCCCTTCCTTCTTTCCCCTCCCCTGTGGTGAGCAGCCAAGAGTGCTCACATATACTGGGCAAGGGGGCTACCACTGAACTGCAGGTCCAAACCTGAAGGAACTTGATATCCATGATTTCATTTGATTCTAGAAGGCCAGAACTTCTCTGCATGCATTTAAGGCAAAAAGATGAGGCAGTTGTTCTGACCTCCAGACCGCTGGCAGCCTCAGGCCCTTCTGTTACTTTCCTTTCTTCTGCTAGTTGTTGTGAATATTAAAGCCACTTTGAGTTTAGGAAAGACTTGTCACAGCCCTCCATGTGGATCTCTGTCCTTAGCTTCTAGCACACAGGTGTTTGGGTGTGTGTTTGGTCTCTGTGTCTGATAGCCCTCTCACTGTGTGGCATGCTCTAAAACTCACTGCAAGTAGGTGGTGATGTGTAGAAGCAAGGTGCTTGCCTGGAGATGGGATCATCTCCAGGAGAGTGCCAGCCCCGAGCTGCACCTGAGCACACTGCATCCTGCTTGGGCTCTGATGGATGCCGTCTGTCAAGCGGTCCATGCTCAGAATGACCAGTCTCCAATTCTGCAATATATTATCTTGGTTTCCTGGATAGTAAAATCATGTTTCAATTTATCTGTCCTTTTTGTGGTTGAATTATCCAAAATGGGCAAATAAAAATGAATGTTTGGATTTGAATGCTAATTTAGGTCTCAAATGGGTTTTGTTTCAGACATTATTGAAATTAATTTGTTTTCCTTGAGCGCATTCCACTTATTGGCAAGGTGCAGTGTCCCTCCCCCTCCAGAATACATTTGGTGGCTCTTGGGATAAATTTGTAAGATAGATAATCTATACCAAGATAATGGAAAAGTTTATTCTAAATCTTCCTCTAAATGACAAATTGTTGTCTAAACATTTAGAGTCTGGAAAGATAAATACTTCAATCAAAATCCTGACCCAGACAAATCCATTTTCTTTTGTCTTTTCTCATTTTTTAGATGAGTTTATTTGCATGGATATACTACTTTTTCCCTCTGAGATAGAATCTTGATATACCCAGGCTGGCTTTACGTTTCTTTGTTCAAGTGATTTTCATGCCTCAGTCTCCCTAAGTGTGTACCTCATGTGCTCAGCACCATGCATGTACCCCATTCCTCCACCTTTTCTGAGAAAGGGTCTCTTGTGTAGACCAGGCTATCCTTGAACTCAGATTGTGGCTGAGAATAACTCGAACTTCTGGTCCTTCTGCCTCTATCTCTCAAATGCTGGCATTACTACATGTGCCACAATCTCCAGATTTTATATAAATATATAAATATATATATATATTTTTTTTCTATGTGTAAAGCTGAGGTGGCTTCCAAGTAGGGCATTGCTATTTGTCGAAGCACTGGGGCTTTGGTGCTGACAGAGCATCTGCAGTTCCACAGCCTAGGCAACTGAACAAATTCAACCCTTCAAGCCTCGGTTTTCTCACCTGTAAAATGAATCCATAATTTCTGCATATCATGGTTATAAGGAGTTTATGGGTGTTTAGGACATGAGCACTGGTGGCAGGGGCCTTTCTTATTCTCTGAGACCTCTGCCTTCCCTAGAGAAAACATTTTTCTTTGGAGCTGGTTTGGCTTTGGCTCATTGCTGACTGTCTTAGTTTGGGTTTCCATTGCTATGAAGAGACACCTTGACCAAGGCAAGTCTTATAAGGGACAACATTTAATTGGGGCTGGCTTACAGGTTCAGAGGTCAGTCCATTATCATGGTGGGAAGCATAGCAGCATGCAGGCAGACATAGTGCTGGAAGAGCTGAGAGTTCTGCATCTTAATTTGAAGGCAGCCAGAAGGAGATTGGCTTCCACAGAAGGCTCTCATTCCAAACTGGGTGAAGTCTTAACGTCAGAGTCCTCAAAGCCTACACAGTGACACACTTCCTCCAACAAGGCCACACCTCCTAGGAGTGCAACTTCCCATGGGCCAATCATATTCAAACCACCACGCTGACACTTAGCAAGTTCCCCTGCAAGAAGAGCTGGCACCTGACCGCATCTGGGCCCTTTGCCCCTTCTGTCTGTTACTTGCTTCTGTAATAGCTAGCTGTACTACTATTGTGGTTCCTTAGCCATGTAGTGTTTTACTGACTATAAGTAAAAGTTAATAAGATGGCCATAATGATACAAGGCTGCAGTCCTATTGCTTAGGAGACAGAGGCAGAAAGGTGTCTTACAGAGCAAGTTTGGACAATTTGAAACCTGTCTCAATTCTTTCTTGTCAAAAAATGTTAATAACAATACCAGTTTACTGTCGCTGTGACTCCTACTTTGCAGGGAGTGTATAAATTTGAGGCTCTGCTGCCTCCTGGCTTGATGACCTTGGATGGATCATTCTTTATTTCCAAACTGCTTCCTCATCTGTATAATGAGGACAACAGTGCTTTTGGGGTTGCAGGAGACTTTGAGTGAGATGCTACAGTCTGAGCTCTCAGGCATAGACAGAGCACACCAGAGGTTTTGCTGTGTTGGTAAGCTGATGTTTGGAGTGCAGAGAGCTGGCATGGTAAAAGGCAACTTTTTTTTCTTTTTCTTTTTTCTTTTTTCTTTTTTTTTTTTTTTTGCATGTTCTCAAATGTGGTACTGAGGAGAGGACCTAGGGCCTCATCCATACCAGGCAAGTGCTCTACCATAAGCTATATTCCAGGCCTTTCTTCTTGAGATAGGATCTCACTAAGTCGTTCAGCTTGTTCTGGAACTCACTCTGAAGGCCAACCAGACCTTGAACTTGAGATCATTCTGTCTCAGCCTGTCAAGTAGCCTGAGTTATAGGCCTTCCCCACCAGGCCTAGAATAGCAAGCCATTAATGGTAGCTCATGTTCTGACCATTTGCTACTGAAGGGGAGAGTGTTGGTAATAGTCTTGCCACCAACTCAGGCGTAGTGTTAGTTGTTTTAGAAGTAACTTGGTAAGGCAGGACCTCTGGCAGCTTGTGGCATCCATTGAGATTCTAGCATCCTGATTCATTCATTGCTTTTCTTGGACTCACATAGGCCAAGCCCAGCATCCGGTGCTTCATTAAGCCCACTGAGACACTCGAGCGGTCCCTTGAGATGAACAAGCACAAGGGCAAGAAGCGGATGCAAAAGAGACCCAACTACAAAAACGTTGGGGAGGAGGAGGAGGAGGAGAGAGGGTCTACTGAAGATGCGCAGGAAGACGCTGAGAAGACTAAAGGTACAGAGGGTGGTTCAGAAAGCATGAAGACAAGTGGGGAGCGTGAAGGTGAGTGGCCCCGGGAACGCACAGCCCCTTCACCCACGCCAGCCCTGCCGCCAGTGAGGCTTTGTGTCCTGTCTTTCTCCTGCTCCTCATGTGTCCCCTGGGTGCTTCTGCTTATCTCAGCACCCACCAGTGTACCTCATTCTGGACAGCCCAGTCATTCAGAGGCAGCTGTGGGCTGTGTCCCAGCAGATCTAGTGCAAGTCCCACCTGTGTGACCTGGAGCCAGGTTTCCTATCCGTAAAAAGCTAGTCACACATCATAGCCACTGTATAGTGCATTAACAGAGTTAAATCATACAGTCATCTGGCCACCTCACAACAGCTCCAGGCCCTTAGGAAATGTCGTGGTGGCACCTGCTGCTGCCGCTGCCGCTGCCAGCACTATTGTTACCACCTTCATTCATCATCATGGCTGCTGTTCCTATTCCGGCTAACTTGGGGGTAGGATTTGTGTTCAGTACACTATGGGAAGGAAAGGGGGCCCAAGTTTGGTAAGACAATATGTCTTTGATAGCTGATGGATTTTTGCAGTCATGCAGTTAAGTACAGCCTCCCTCCAGGTTCTGTAGCTGGGTTTTACAGGTCCCATCTGTTCAGAGTGAGGCACAATTGTGTGGCGTGCATGCACTCAGTGAACAGAAACCTGCATTCTCCTCTCACCCTGGCAGGATTATTTGACTTCCTCACCTACCCCTGTCTTGTATAGATGCTAAAACCCTCTGGAGAACATTTGGTCTGGGGTTCAAAACAATTCAAGTAGCCAGTTGTTTGTATCAGAGACCAGGCTCATTCCACTCAGAGCCTCTAACAGGATCCCTAGGGATTGGGTGTTAGTGTTAATGAAACTCTGCTTGGTGGTGCTGGGGTCAGAGTTCTGCTGACTAGAAGGAAGATCCCATACCTCCTTGGACAAATGCAACCTCTTTGGAGCACCCCAGCTAAGAGTAGTCCAGCCTTATGGGCCCTGGGCTAAGTCCCGCAGTCCTGAGTGGCTGACAGTCATGCAGAGCTTTGCACTAAGCACTGACTCTTAACCTTCCTAACGCTGCAACCCTTTAATGTAGTTCCTCATGCTATGGTGATCCTCACCATAAAATTATTGTCATTGCTACTTCAAAACTATATTTGTGCTACTTGTTATGAATCATAATGTAAATAACTATGTGTCTTAGGTGACCCCTGTGAAAGGATCATTTGACCCCCAAAGGGGTTATGACCCACAGGTTGAGAACTGCTGCACTGCTTGTCTGCTTTTGAGAGCTGTGCGCAGGTCTACAGCCAGCACATACCCTGTCATTCCAACCTGTTGTCCCCTGGAATGACTATCATGGCAATAGTCAGTGAACACCACAGTTGCATGTGAGTGAATCTAGCCAAAACATCTCCTGATAGCCTGCTCTTCCTAAGGCTACAGTCTCTAGCCTACTTTTATTTGTGTACATTGTGACTTTTGGTTTACTTGGTATATTCAATTCATTTGAGGTCTGGAAGCCTTTGCTTATAAGTATCAGTTTGGCAGTAAGATTAAGGGGCAAATATGAGGTAAGTCACACTCACTTATTTTTGGTTATGTTAAGGATTTCATTAGCTGGGGAGAAAGTTACTCAGCTCACACCCCAGGTCTAGCCACAGCACAGTGGCATGGGATAGGACGAGTAGACGAATGTCTGTATCTTGTTTTGCACACTGTGTTCTAGTCAAATCATCTTGGAAAGATGCTCCTGCTTTTGTTCCAGGCCTTGAGAGATGCTTTCAGGCAGCCACAGCTGTGACTAACAGTGGTATGGACAGGGCAAGCTTGGCCCCAGACCCTAATCTAATTGTTAGACATAGAGGCTGTAGGCCAGTTTATTGAGGCTGCTATATCACTTAGGGTGCTGGGCTTGGAGCAGAGCTTCTGGTGCTGAGACCTGCCCCTGCACAGAGAAGACACTGTTACCATCCTCCCAATGTGGATTTCCCAGGCTATACAGACAAATTGTGCCAACTAGGACCCCAGGGTTTCCCCAGAGGCTAGCTTAAGCAGCTGACACAAACTTCATAGCTCAGCCAGGTGTAGCTTCCAGTGACCCCTGTGACCATTTTACTGCCCTTGTAATTTCTCAAACACACTAATCATTTTAAAACATGGTAGCTTGTCATCTTCCTACTCAGCTCACCATAAATACATAAGTATCCACAGACCTTGCTGTGCGCTTATATTCTAAAGCCTTCCAAAATACACATGTGATCTTTTAGACTTAGATTTGAGGTGCTGTTAATGAATGTTCTCTCCTCATCCTGCATCTGTGTTTGGGCAAAAGCAACATCTGTTCAATCCTGACCTTTGGTGTCAGTTCCCTCATTCTTCTTGCAAACCAGGTGTTGGTTCCTATAGAGTTATGCAGGGACCCATTGCCAGGGTGGATCTCGGGACTACAGCAGCTCTTTCCTAAGCTCTGAAGTGTGTGTATCAGCAGCGGGGATGAGAGTTCTGGGTGCTGTGTACCAGCTTTCCCTTTCTCCCTGCTCTGCTGAAGTGGCTGGGTGCTGCTTCTTCCTCCTGTCACTCCTTCTCCAAGCTCCTTTTATTGGGCCACAAGATTACAGCAATTGCAGTCCAGTCTCTGCAGAAATGGATGGTTAAAAGAAAGACGAAGGCTGCCATTGCCCCTCAGCTGAAGAAGCTCTGCCCAAGAAGTCACAGCCCCCGCACATACTTGTTTCTTAACTGCCCCTTATTTGAAGGGACATCCATCTGCTTTTGGATTTACTTACTGCAGTAACTTAATAATGAGACCCAGCAGAGAGATGGAGTAGTCCTACCTTCTCCTGGGAACAGCAGGGCTGGGCTGCTGGTTTTGCCTAAGGAACAAATAGGAATTAGTTGGCTAACCCTACTTTCCCAGCTCTCTTGCTGGAATACCACATGGGCTTATAGTGGTGGCAGAAGGCAAGACTGACAGCCTAGAAGTTGGGATTGAGGGGTCCCAGGGGCCTTGATCCTCAGCTTTGTCCTTTAAAAGTCTCTGCTGGAATGAAATGGAACTTGGCCTCATTCTTGACTTTTTTTGGGGATATTCAAACACAAGTCCTAGTTTTGTCTTGAGCCACATTGTAGTTCCAGATAAGTTGAAACTACAGCACATGTCCACCTGTGGAGGGTCTTTCTGATGCTCAACCTGAGGCTGTTACAGTAAGGTTTCCCATGTTGCAGCATTCTGCTTGTGACATATTAGCAGCCCAGATCAAGATGGAGTCTAGAGGCATAGAGGTACATTCTGGGCCTATACCCTCAACAGTTTCTCTAGACCTTTATTCTTTGCTTCATTTCTCTGTTCCTTGTATGTATTCATGTTCATGTCTGTGCATATAGACTACAGCACACATGTAGACTACAGTACACATGTAGAGAATGTTGAGATCAGAGGAAAAGGTTGATGTCTGTCCTCACCCTCCACTTTGTGAAACAGGCTTTTGTATCTTGCCGCTGTGTATACCAGGCAAGCTGGCTTGCTGGGGATTCTTCTATCTCTGCCTCTTATTTCATGATGGGAGCATGGGGATTGCAGAATATGCTATTGCATTTGGCTTTACATGCACTTTGACACATACAAGCTGGCAGTGTTAAGGGTGCCTGTCTTGTGTATCTATCACTATTTCCAAAATTCTTTGTATCTTGCCAAACAGAGGGATTCAAACTCAGGTTCTCACAGTTGCATGACAACTTTTTTACCCACCTAGCCATCTCCTCAGCCCAGCAGGGCTCATTTGTGAGTGTAAGCATGTGGGCGAATGAGAAAGAGACTTGGTAGCACCCTTACCCCACCCCCATTACATAATGGGGAGATTTTTGCCTGTACCTTTCATACAGACTTAACAAGAGAAGTGTAGATGTCAGTGAGGGCAAATCCTCTAACAGTTGTATGCCCAGAAAACTGCTGTGTTCAGGAGAGGTACCAATAAGCAAAGGAAGGGACATACTCCTGCCAGCTCCTGCTATTGCCCTGGCCAGTTTCACCTTGAAACACTGTTCCAGAGTCAGCCAATCACAGCCCTCTGTGGTTACCTAGGTAACCAGCACACATCTTTCCCCTTCCCTTGACCTTCCTTTGAAGGCCTGCCTTTCTCCCTCCCTTTCCATTGTCTGTCTGTCTGTCTGTGGTTTCTGGAATAGGAATCCAGATTGAAGAAATCCTTGAATTGTGAGGTCAGAGACTGCTGGGATGTGGTGCCTGCCATTTCCCCAAAGAGCACTTCGTCTACTAGATAGAAATCCTAGGCGAGTCAGGGAGTTTGTGCGGTCAGAGGCTGGGGCAGCTCCAGGATATGACCAGAGTTGTCACATCAAGAAATGGATGTCTTTGAGTACTGACCTTCACAGTTCTCCCAGTATGGTCATACATACATGGTACCTAGGAAATGAAGATATCCTTGCCTGCTTTTGGATCCTGCCTGTCTGTCTTTTCTCTTCCTACTTCCTCTTCCTACTTCTTCCTCCTCCTCTTCCTCCTTCTCTTTTGTTTCTTTTTTTATTATGGTAAGATTCTGGCAAATGAAACCTCACTACTTTAAAGCATGCAAGTCAGCAGTGCTAAGGGGTCCATCACCATCGTCTCCAGAACTGCATCCTGCAGAACTGAGACTCCACCTGCTAAACAACTCCTATTCTCCCTGCCCCGCCCACTGCAGCCATCATTCTCTGCCTGTCACAGCACGGCTACTCACAGCACAGACTCAGTAAGATCCTACAGAATCGGAGGAGATAGCCCAGGCGGGGACAGGCTTACTGAGCTTAACCTCCAGAAGCCATGGATTCTATTTTATTTTAAAAAATGGCACACTTGTAACTCTAGCACAATGGAGGCAGAGGCAGAGCCCAGCCTATTGCAAGATCCAGGGCAGTGAGAGATATTCTGTCTCCAGAGAAAAGGGGTGGGGGAGAGAGAGAAGAAAAGACAGCACCTGCAGACCAATGCTCAGGGTTGTCCTCTGGTACATGCACTTGAATGTGCATGCGCA